ATTTTACCCCACATGACAACATTAATATTATCTTATTTTTATTTACCTGTATCAAAATTATTTTTTTAAAATTGTAACTGATGAAATATTACTTCTCAATAACCAGAAATATGGAACTTGTAGAAAAATTTAAAAATATTAAGTTTTGCAATCTTAGTCACTTAAAATGTAATACTAAGAAATTAGATCACGAGATCTATTTGCAAGAATTTGACGTTTCTTTATAAATAACTTACGATAGTCTTATGATATAATGACGTAATTTTTAAACAGTTAAAAAGCATCAAAAAGGAAATTAATTTTGTGTTTATCCAGCAGATAGAGGTACTTACTAATAAGATCTAGCAAATGGACCATTTTACCCCGCGGTCCGTCTTACCCCACCTTCCCCTAATTACCGTATTTTACTTTGTATTTGTTTTCAGATCTAGAAAACATTTCTTGAACGGCGTCCACCTCCATTTTACCTGCAGAACCGGTATGATTTGAGGCGCATTCTTCTTCGTGCTCTTCGTACCATTTAGCATACTCTTCAGTATTTCTTTTTTTACTCCAAAACGTACAAGCTTGGCAGTAACTTCCTTTTACAATGAAGTCTATTACCTTGCCACTGTAATATCCTATAAGTGTTGTAACACCATATAACGAAGTGAAGCCGCGTTTCTTCCACGATCCATCGCCAGATATTTTCAAATTTGTTGGTCTTCCATTTTTCACATTTTTTTCTTTTTCTTCTTTCACTGCTTTTTGGCACAGAGAATCGAATACTACACTCGCGGCGCTGTGAATATGTTCCACTATAAGAGAGTATGCATTTTTACTTATACCTTGCCCGATGTCCATAAGGCCGCAGAACAAGTTTATACCTTCTCTACCGACGCCTAAAAGCCGCATTACGAATACTGTTCTTCGATTAATTTCATAACCATGATTTATAAGAGGTCCTGAGTTTATTTCTTTGCGATTACAGCGGCATATAACAATAAGTTTAAAACCGAGGCCCCGATTTCCTGCTTCTTCAAATTTAACATTTTGCTTGCACTCTCTGCAAATAAGCATTTCCGACAGTGCGCCAAAAACAGTTAAAAATTCTATAATTCTATAACAATGAATGGGATTATAAACCACATTTTTACTACTCGCAGTAGCTAATTTTTTTGCGGATACACTTTGTTTTATCGATTCATCTTTTACATCAGTAAACTGATTGCCGTGAAACTTTCGCTTCAAAGCCTTTGCTGCACGAGTAGTAGTGCTTTTATTTCCTTTCGGATAGGACATCTTAGCGTTTTTTAAGATCCAATTTCAAAGATCCAAAAATCCAAAAATACAAGCTGAAATTTGGAGCAGGACTGACTAGGGATAGGCGATATTTTTCGATTAATCGAAATAATCGAGTTTTTTTCAATTGATCGATATTTTTAATCGATTAATTTTTCGTTTGAGTAATCGATATTTGATTCTTTTCACTTAACATCGCCAAACTGATTCTGTATCATGTAATGTAGTGAAAATGACAAAGGTGAACAAATTTACTAAGCGTTGACCAATAAGATAGTAAATTTGCTCACTTTTGTCAATTTCACTATATTACATGATACAGAGTCGATCCCCAGAAGCCATAAAAGGATAAGGTTAAGTTATAAATATTGTCTTTACGCTGTCTTTTTTCTTTTAATCAATATTTAAAACATTGACTTATTTTTGAAAATCGCCCATCCCTAAAGTGTGTGTATTACACACAAATGCTGACACAAAACATGTTAGAGAAAACATCTGCCTCTCTTCTTACTGTTGACCGAGCCGAGCAAAATCTCGGCGCGCGCATCGCCGCGCGCTCGTATACCTATACCTGTACGCAAGAAATAGACTGTGGGCTCCTTAAAATTTCGAATTTCGTTCTCCACCTTTGGGAATACATTTTCTACATTGACTACTATTGATTAAAGCAAAAAAAAAAATTTCGATTTTTTGAACCGGTCATACGAGGCTCCCCCCTTAATAACCACTGTTCCTCGAATAATTGTGCTATCACATAAACTCCTTCTTCAAAAAATCTTTCACTGTTACGCCAAAAAGACATTTTAAAAGCTTTACACTTTATTTCTTCGAGTGGAATTACTATGGAATCTTCGGATAATTTTGAACACTTGAAAACTCCAATTCTTCGAGAGTCTAAATCATCAACGTTATATAAAGAATCCACTTCCTGAAATTTCTGTACTTTTAAATGGTAATTATTTGTGTCGTTTACATAAAATATATTTCTCAATATGTACACATTACCATCAAATGAAATGCAACAATTGTTACTGTGGCGGCTCACCGCCACACCGCTGCACTGACGCGGTATAATACATCGCGGCGCCGCTACGCGCCGCAGGCCTTCTACCAGTTACAAGCTTGCGGACCCACCGCCAGGTTGCGCAGGCAGTGAAGAACCTTCTCGCGATCAAGCTTCGATCGACGAGATATAAAAGAGCTGCTCCGCAGATCTTTTCCCTCACTCACTCGCTTCAAGGCGAGCTCTCCCCAGGGCCCTTGAACTGAGTCATATTCTGCCTCGGC